AAAGAGAGAAAACCTCGTTTGAGCTCACGCCTCATGGCCGCCAGGGTTTCAAACAAGCCCTGCAATGATGACTCAGATTTTAAGAGCTGCCCGCCAAACCCCTGTTGACAAAGATGAAGGAAAATAGAGTAAAATTTTAAAGAAATATGAAGTGGGATTTAGAGACATGGAGGAGTGTATTATGGTCGGATGAGGCTACGCTTGTGACTGGGAGTATTGAGTGAGGGTGTACTACCCGGGCCCCCCACCTGCCAGACGCAGCACCTCCCACAGTACACTGTAAAGACTGTTACACCCTGCCTCGCTTATGGTTTGGGCTTCCTTTTACGATATGGTGTTGGTGAACAAGTAATCCTCCCTAAGAACCAGATACGAATCGCACAACTCTCTCTTGAGCTGCTCAGTGATTTCTTACTCAATCATTTGATAAAGCTAAGGCAAGCTCTTTTCATGAGGACGGTGCCCCATGCCACACTGCTAAAAGTGTCATATACAGTGGCTCAAAGACTGTGATGGCCTTTCTTTAATGACTGGCCTGCAGTAGCCCAGATCTAACCCAACAGAAAATTTGTGGTCTGATTGTTGCTGCCGTTTGGCTAATGCATTTTCTATGACACATCATCAATCCTGAAGCTAGAGGCAGCCATCATGATACCTGGGCCACTGCCACCTGACCTCTTTTGCAAACCTTGCTGGACAGTGTTCATTGAAGGCTAAAAGACTGTCTGAGAGGAAAATACTCATAAAAGTATTAATTGAAGTGGTAAGTGTTACTTGACTTTATTTATATAAATATAATCGTAAATATCAATATTTTTTTCTGTGTTAATAATTTATCTAACATTCACAAGAGACTGTAAAATGTCATATATTTTGCTCAAGAGAAAATTCGTAGTACATTAGTGTACAGTACTGTAGTACATTTTATAATATAAAGTTTTTCAACTGTATTTTGGGGCAGATTTACATAAATTTCTTTCTTATTTATTTTCATCCATTATATGCACCCACCATACCAAAAGAAAAGTAAAAGAAATAAATGACTCAGGTGCAGAGCTGGAGCATACATGCTGCACAATTTGATTACGGTACTAAAATTGGTTATGTCTAGTGCAATTATAGCTTGTTTATATTCAACACCACTATCTTACAAGAATCCCAGCAATGTAATTATATTCACCCAGGTCATGTCACTGCTTTTTATAAGAGAGAAGCTAGTCACTTTAAGAACTGATAAATATACAGGCACACGCTGCTAGACCTGGCAGTGTGCCAACTGTCAAACGTATCACCTCCTCCCCCAAGCCTCCCTCAGATGCTCCCTTCTTTCTCCCTCCCCCTCTCTAACCGTTCCAAATGTTGTTGAACTTTGTAAAACAGTGAATAATTTTAATATAAACGCTATGGTATTTTGCAATGAGATAAAAATTAATCCACTCCGTATCACATTACAGTAGTGATTTAAGAGTAAAAGTGTACGATACAGTATTCCACATACACGAGTATAAATACAAAGTTTATGTGAT